GTCTTGTCCACATGCTCAGGGTTTAGCTGATCGCCATATTTGGGGTCAGAAGGAATTTTCCTCCAGGGCAGATTGGCAGAGGCCCTGGGGGATTTTTGCTTTCCTCTGCAGCGTGGGGCACGGGTCACTTGCTGGAGGATTCTCTGCACCTTGAAGTCTTTAAAGCACTATTTGAGGACTTCAGTAGCTCAGACATAGGTTAGGGGTTTGATAAAGGAGTGGGTGGATGAGATTCTGTGGCCTGCGTTGTGCAGGAGATCAGACTAGACAATCATAATGGTCCCTTCTGACCTTAAAGTCTATGATTCTCATGTCCTTGCGCCACAGGACTGGGGCGAGCTCATCACACAGTCCCATGAATGTGGCTTTTCTCATCCGAAAGTTCTGCAGCCACTGCTCATCATTCCAGACGTGCATCACGATGTGATACCCCCACTCAGTGCTTGTTTCCCAAGCCCAAAAGGGGCATTCCACTGTGATCAGCACCTCAGTGAACACCACAAGCAATCTCATGTCGTAGCTACTATGCGAGGCAAGATCAATGTCGCACTCCTCTTGCCTTTGTAGTTTAAGGAATAACTCCATTGTCACTTGTGACATGTTAGTCAGAGCGAGCAGCATACTGGTCAGTAGTTCGGGATCCATTCCTTCAACCTGAAGAGGCATGGCGCGCAGTACACAAACCATTGAAAGATGGCGCCAAATGCAGATGGAAGCACAAGGATTTCTGGGATGCGAAGCAATGCATCGCGGGTTATTGAGACAGGACCCAGGATGCCCCGCAACCCCCTCCACCTTCCCACAAGTCCCACGGCAGAAGAGAAAGAGGTGTTCTGTGGGATAGCTGCACAGAGTGCACCGCTCCGAATAGCGCTCCAAGTGCCACAAGTGTGAACACGCTATTGTGCAGGCAGCTGACAGTGTGAACACACAACAGCGGTTTCCCTTCAGCGCTCTGTGAGCAAAGCTGTAACTGCTGGTGCTGTAACTTTGCCAGCGTAGACGTGCCCTTATATACCACCTTGGAATTTGGCCCACAGAGTCTAAGGGAGTCTAATCTGGTGGAATTTACCTGTTGAAGAGCCAGATGAGAGGGGTGTATTTTAACCTACACCAGGGATGGGCAACCTGTGGCCCGCGGCCCGCCAAGGTAAGCCCCCTGGCAGGCCGGGCCGGTTTGTTTACCTGCCAACTCTGCAGGTTCGGCCGATCGCGGCTCCCTCTGGCCGCGGTTCACCATCCCAGGCAAATGGGGGCTGCGGGAAGCGGTGCGGGGCGAGGGATGTGCTGGCCACCGCTTCCCGCCGCCCCCATTGGTCTGGAGCCAAAAAAATGTACCTGACCTGTATAACCCAACTGAAGAATAATGTAAACTCCATTTGAAGACAAAGGCACTGCAAAGGTATAACAGAGTGAATAATTTGTCCTATAGAGTCTTTATTACTGTGGAAGAAGATATATGAGAAACAAAGAGCACAGTTTGAGTTCGCAGGGCTGACAGCTAGAAAAAAAAATCTTTCACTCATGATTTGCAACTCAGGTGTGTTCAGTTTATGAATGAAAAAGCATTAAACAAAAATTTTCAAGTTAGTTTTCTGATTAGAATTGCATTTTAAGGACAGCATATCCCAGAACTATTTGGTATACTGTTCAAAATAGGCTCTCTCTTTTGCACATGTTCACTAAGCAGGACTTTCCTGTTGTGCAAGTCTAGGTTGGAAATGGACTGGAGCTAGACAGGGCATCCTTGGCATTTTTTCCTTTTTATTCAACAACTTACATACTCTATGATAGTGGTAATATGTTTTACCTCCAACTGGGAGCATTCATTTATCTGTTGTAATAACACCTCGCTGGGCTGGTGTACTGTTCCTTTCGAGTCCTCTTAAAGCTTATGATAGACTATTAATGATCTGTTCGGGGCAAACTCCTCAGTAAAATTTACCAAGTTATTACATGTGTGTTGCCCCTGTAGCTCTACAGAGTGACTAGGATGTGTGTCACATGGTTGACTGACCCTTAAGGGGTAGTTGGGCTCAGTCACATCTACTCCAGATTAGCTACTATTCCTTCCCTCCTACCCCCATCCCCCAAACTGGACTTGATCAGCTGGGTGATTTCTTTAAAAGGGATGAGAACTCAGTATGAAGAGAGTGGAACCACAGAAAGTTGGTAGGCTCCTGTAGAAGGCCCTGAATGAGGGTCTGCAGGAGACTGAGGGGACTCTAGGGCAAGAGCCTGGGAGTCAGGGTGAGTTAAATAGGAGACCAAGTGGAGAGAAAGTACTTTGCATTGGTTGGGACTTTTGTTTGTACTTGTTACCCTGAAAGGGAACTGAACTCAAAATGACCCAGCCAGAGGGCTGAGCCCCAGTTCAAATAAAGCAAAATTATGGCAGGGAGGGCACACAGCACAACACTGAGTCAACAGGGGGCACTACAGGGCAGGCATGCCCTGTGACAGTACATTAGAAAGGGGAAAAAAATCTATCAAAACTATTTCAGAAATTGAGGACACTGTATGCAAGAGCTACCTTCTTAATGTTCTGAAAGGAATGGCATAATTTTCTGCAAAATAATATTTCCCCAAATCTTTCACCCATTGGTGAAATTTTCTTTTAAAACTGTTTTTTAATATCTCATTCGGTTTACCAGGAGTAAGAGGTATACATTTATACTTGCCTATACTTCTATTATACTTTTGTCCAGCTTTAAAGTACAATAAAAGTAATTATTCTGTGTAAACTGAAAATTCAGAAAAATGGCTAATTATGCGTACATGGATTAAATGTAGAGTGGCTGTGCATATATTTGTCTAAAACCTGTGGCGGATGCCTTGGGTCAATATTGACTTAGGGATTCCTAATGTATTTTTACAACATCTAATTCTGAGAGCAAAGTGTGTGCTGCAGAGAACATTTGGTATCAAAATAATTAATCTGATTTCTTTGCAAACAAACAGAACACAAGTCCGTTGGTAAACATTTAAACAGCTTACAGCAAACACATTCTACATGTCATATAATTTATTATCAAGTACTCCAGACTCCTAACTATTTAATTAAAACAAAGTCCTAGTCTATTCTTTGCTTGCATGGATCCAAATACTTATTCTGGGCTGTTAATATCAGACTGTATATCAGTTTAATGCATAACTTATCCTTTCAGCATCAAAACATGAAAGCATAAAAGAATTAAATAAAAAAGTAAGGACACTGGGTTAGCTTTAAGAGAAAATGGTACCCCTTCTGCTCAGCTCCAACATTACATAGTCGCAGATACAGTATAAAAAACTCCTTTGTATTACAGGTTTTATCTTTAAATATATTTCACATTTTATTAATACAGGTGGCATTTCTGAGTCTACAACTGGTAGACGTCATCTTGCTAAAACTGTAACAGAGTGATATCGATAAAATTAGAACTCCACGTAAAGCCCTATCTACCATCACTGTTCAACTATCTATAAACAGCACAATTTTAACTCAGTTGTGGCTAAATAGGTGTCCACTTGGCAGGAACCTAGGTTACAATATTATTCTAACTGTTGTTCTAAGGGTCTGATTCTGCAGCCACCTTCAGAAGAAACTTCGGAGTATACAAAGAACCACGTGCTGTTATTTCATCTTCAAACATCAGAAACACGTCATGCAAAACATAATAATGCCAAACTCAAACCTCCCAGAACCTGGAAACACAGAATAAAACTACATTTCTACATATATCACCTCTCACATCTCTGCCCACAGACAATCATATACCTTCCATCACTTGCAAACCAAACCTACTCAGCCATGGACTCAAGATGACACCCACACAACCTTAACTCTGCCCTTTGTTTGAGGCCATTGTTCCTTTGTGATTAACTTTTACTTCTGACTCTGGGTTTTAATCTCTTTTTATTTTTCATAAGGGACAATAACCCATTTTAAGGTAAGGTTTGTTTGTAGTACACCTCTACCTCGATAGAACACTGTCCTCAGGAGCCAAAAAATCTTACCGTGTTATAGGTGAAACCGCGTTATATCGAACTTGCTTTGATCCACCGGAGTGCACAGCCCCGCCCACCCGGAGCACTGCTTTACCACGTAATATCTGAATTTGTGTTATATCAGGCCGCATTATATCGGGGTAGAGGTGTATTAGAAATGTGAACTTTAATATGTTCTTAGTAGACATTTCTATCAATGAAGCTCCTTGGATGATGGGTTATTAGCTGGATGGATGCTACTCTCTGGCATATATATTACTTAGTATTGTTCTGTATCTAGGAGATGTGGGTTGTTGTTTTTTTAAACTTTCATCACATTCCACATAGGGCCAAGTTAAGGTTGACTGTGCATGAAGTTAATTGACCTCCATATAGGCACAGGAGTCCATGCTATTGAATCACAATGCATGATTAGACCCTTTGACACCTATGCAAGCAAAATGGGTATTTACGCATCTAAGAGCAGATCTGAACATCCAATGTAGATGATCTATGTACGTCTATTTACGTTGGAAAGCTGAGCCCACGTCTGTTCCATTATAACAATTGCTATGTTCTAATTACATTTATAATATAAGATAACCCAGTGTTCAAACTCTGCAACACACAAGACTGCATTAATAATTTGTCAGGTGCTAAGAGTCACACACAGCTGCAGATTTGCATGCATACACACAGTATTTAAAAATCAAAAATAAGGGCACAAAACCACAAAATTTACTTGCATTTGTACCTTGTTAGATGAATAGAAACATTTTGTGGTTTGAGTTTGCTAGCAATAAACACTGTACATGACCATCTTTGTTCTCTTTCTGCACTTACAAGGAGAGAAAACCTATGGCTATATTTGCCCCTCAGGCCACATTTTGGGTAACCCTACTTTAAAGTAAAACAGTAACAGGTGCCTATAAAATATTAATCCCTATCAAAATCCCTCCCCATCCCATCTAGCACTAGATAAAAAGCCATGTAATCCCATTAATTTCACATAGCCACTTTAATATCCTTACCTGAACAGTACGTCCTGCATTGATGTGCTCTTCATGTAATCTGTCCCACAGTCTGCATCTCTGATACTACATAAAGAAAAAATACTCCATATAATTGCTAGAAAAGAAACTTTATCACTCAATAATTATTTTAAATTTCTGTAGTTTACAGTAATAAAGGGGCCAAACTCTTCCTGGTACAAAGCCAGGGAAGTAAATGGATCTTCACAAGGGATTAATTTGGTTCACTATATTTTCATTCATCCTAACATAACCAGAGACCTTGTATTAGTTCTCAACAACAAATAGACATAATAGAGTTCTGGTAATGTTACAGTATATTTCCATTAATGGACAGCAGAGAGATGACAGCAAGCAGTGAAGAACATAGGGGGGAGAGCTGTACCAGTCATTCCTGTTATGAAACAATAAGCTACCAGATGTTATTTTTATAAAGAGAATTACGTTCCCCTCAAGAGACTGTACATGCCATTTAATTTTAATACTTTAAAACAGTTACAAACATGGGCCCCAATCCAAAAAAGACAATCACACGCATGGAGTCCCACTGACTTCAGCAGCATTCTTTACCGGACTGGGGCCACAGCAATGATTCAAATGATAAATACCTCAGATATCAAAATCATCATACAAAGCTTTTCATCAGTTAAATAAATCAATCCCTGCTACTGTCAGTTCACAAAAAGCTACCACAGAGACAGACCACAAAAGCAAATCTCTTAACAAAAAATAATTTTACCAGCAAACAATACAAATTGGGATTCTTGGTATATACAATTAAAACATTAAATAATGTATTAAATGAAATAAGAAAAAAATATAGGATCACGTATGAACATTTTTAGTCATTTAAATGACAGAGCAAAAAACAGCATAGGTTTTAATCAAAAAAATACGAGTTGCCATTTTATGTAACATTAATTCATTCAATCTCTTCATAAATCATACTTTCAATAGCATATTTTATCTACCCTCTATCTTTTATTTGTGTTATTTTTAATTGTGGAGACCAGATCAACTTAAAATATTCCAAGATCCTGTGTCTCCTAACCATCATATAAGGAATCAGGAGTTACTTCTCAATTTAGAGAGTATGTTAGAGAGAAAAGGTCCTTCATACTATGATTTTGCATAGTATTAAGAAAAAAGAATAGTAGTTTGAGGTCAATTAAATTAAGTCAGAAAGACAATTTAAAAAAAAATGAGTATTAGGAACACCTGCATAACTCGTTATGCCAATAAAATCATTGCAATTGTTCTTTAACAAAAATTACAGAAGGGACTGAACCAACACCCTAAATTTTGCAGTTTATACCATCTATTAAATAATGACAAAGCTGACCTACACTATATTTTCTAAAAAAAAAACTATTTAACTGATTGTAACATAATGTAATTTGCCACATCAATTCAATATCATTAAACCATGAAAAAAACTGTTCTCCACATGTACACGATCACAGAATTTCTTCAAAAAGCATTTATTGCTCCTTATAATTCCCATAAGAAATGCTGAGACATCTTGCTTTGCTTTACACATTAAGAGTGCTATTATACTGTATATTATAATATCTAAGATGCTAGTGGTGTCTCTAAAGGTACTTTGAAAGAACCCAGGTGGCTAATATGACCAGAGTAGTGAGCCTGACCGGGAGTGAAAGGATGTGGTCCCTGCATGTTGCCCTCTCCAGGTCACCCCTCTGCTCATCACATACGAGTCTATTCACAATGAGATCAATGTCAAGTTAGATCACAAACCTTAGCTAGAGAATATTGTCACCACCTCTTTCTCTGAAAGAAAGGAAGTCTAGTCTTTAGGACTGTTGATTAATCGCAGTTAACTCACGCAATTAACTGAAAAAACTAATCATGATTAAAAAAATTAATCGTGATTAATTGCAGTTTTAATAGTATTGTTAAACAATAGAATACCAACTGAAATGTATTAAATATTTTGGATGTTTTTCCTACATTTTCCAATATATATTGATTTCAATTACAACACAGAATACAAAGTGTACACTGCTCACTTTATATTATTATTTTTGATGACAAATATTTGCACTGTAAAAATGATCAACAAAAGAAACAGTATTTTTCAAGTCACTTCATACAAGTACTGTAGTGCAATCTCTTTATCGTGAAAGTGCAACTTAAATATGTTGATTTTTTTTGTTACATAACTGCACTCAAAAACAAAACAATACAAAACTTTAGAGCCTACAAGGCCACTCAGTCCTACTTCTCATTCAGCCAGTCACTAAGGCTAGGTCTACACTACCCGCCTGAATCGGCGGGTAGAAATCGACCTCTCGGGGACAATCGATCCCCGAATCGACGCTCTTACTCCACCAGCGAAGGTGGGAGTAAGCGCCATCGTCGGGAAGCCGCAGAGGTCGATTTTGCCGCCGTCCCTACAGCGGGGTAAGTCGGCTGCGATACGTCGAATTCAGCTACGCTATTCACGTAGCTGAATCTGCGTATCTTAAATCGACCCCCCCCCCGTAGTGAAGACGTAGCCTAAGATAAACAAGTTTGCTTATATTTACGAGAGATAATGCTGCCTACTTCTTATTTACAGTGTCACCAGAAAGTGAGAACAGGCATTCGCATGGGGCATGTAGCCAGCATTGCAAGGTATTTACATGCCAGATATGCTAAACATTCCTATGCCCCTTCGTACTTCGGCCACCATTCCAGAGGACATGCTTCCATGCTGATGATGCTCGTTAAAAAAATAATGCAATAATTAAATTTGTGACGGAGAATTCTCCCACAAGGAGTTTTCTATGTCTCTGGCTCTATTTTATCCGCACTCTGCTATATATTTCAAGTTATAGTAGTCTCAGATGATGACTCAGCACATGTTCATTTTAAGAGCACTTTAGTTGCAGATTTGACAAAATGCAAAGAAAGTACCAATGTGAGATTTCTAAAGATAGCAACAGCACTTGACCCAAGGTTTAAGAATCTGAAGTGCATTCCAAAATCTGAGAGGGATGAGGTGTGGAGCATGCTTTCAGAAGTCTTAAAAAAGCAACACTCCGATGCAGGAACTACAGAACCCAAACCACCAAAAAAGAAAATCAACCTTCTGCTGGTGGCATCTGACTCAAATGATGAAGATGAACATGCATCAGTCCGCTCTGCTTTGGATTGTTATCGAGCAAACCGGTCATCAGCATGGACGCATGTCCCCTGGAATGGTGGTTGAAGCATGAAGGGACATATGAATCTTTAGTGCATCTGGCATGTAAATAGCTTGCAACACCGGCTACAACAGTGCCATGAAAACACCTGTTCTCACTTTCAGGTGACATTGTGAACAAGAAACAGGCAGCATTATCTCCTGCAAATGTAAACAACTTGTTTATCTGAGTGACTGGCTGAACAAGAAATAGGACTGAGTGGCCTTGTAGGCTCTAAAGTTTTACACTGTTTTATTTTTTAATGCAATTTTTTTTGTACATAATTCTACATTTGTAAGTTCAGCTTTGATGAAAAAGAGATTGCATTACAGTACTTGTATTAGGTGAACTGAAAAATACTATTTCTTTTGTTTTAAATAGTGCAAATATTTGTAATCAAATAAATATAAAGTGAGCACAGTACACTTTGTATTCAGTGTTATAGTCGAAATCAATATATTTGAAAATGTAGAAAATATTTAAATAAATGGTATTCTATTATTCTTTAAACATACGATTAATCGTGATTAATCTTTTTAATTGCTTGACAGCTCTACTAGTCTTTTTCCTTCACATCTCGACCTGTAGCATATTTAGATGGGTTCTGGGCTGTAATCAGCAACTGGTTCAGCCTCCACCTAGAAATACAACCTATGATGACACCTCTCTAAGAGTCTCCTGTCTCCATTCTGTCCTGTCTCATGCACTTTTGAAAATTCTACTTAACCATGGGTGGTGGGGTGCTGCTGCACCTCCTGGCTTGAAGTGGTTTCCATCATATGCAGGGTTTACAGTTTGGTTCAATGGCTCTCAGCACCCCCACTATACAAATTGTTCCAGCACCCCTGCTCTAGATCTGCTCTCTGAGAGTGTGGTTCTGGCAAATGTACCTCATTGTTTAGCTTCCAGTCAGGAAGTTTAGAGGAGGTGCACTGCAGAAGACCATACTCTATTATGCAGAGGCTGCTGGAACTGTGTCACTGCCTTAAGAGGAACTTTTTCAAGCACATTGGGCCCAGAGTGATTACTGAATACCCACTGGGAGTACTCACCCTTCAGAACACTCAGTGGACTTGGGCAGAACTAACATTCTGTTCTGAAAGATCTTGCATCTGAAGAAGTGAGGTTCTTACCCACGAAAGCTTATGCTCCCAATACTTCTGTTAGTCTTAAAGGTGCCACAGGACCCTCTGTTGCTTTTTATAGAAAATAATAGGGACCTTCAAGAAAGCCTGACAAAGAATAGAAAGACTGAGTGCTAATTTCTTGGGGAGTGCCCTCTCAAACTCCTATATTGGTTTAGATTCTCAGAACCCCTCATTATGAGGAGAATTCAAAATATTGTTTTATCATCTTTGAGAAGCAAGATTCTAACAGGTGGTCTCAAGGTCAAATTTCATTATACATTGATTTTATATTTTCTTCAAACAAGTGATTTAGTAGATTAATTGTCTGGATTATCTCTGGAACCTAAGGTTTAAATCAATATTCATGAAATGAGGTTAGCGACATTGGCTTCATCATAAGTAAATAATGTTGCTGCTTTAAGCAATTTGGCATAATTAATGATTTTTGCTTAAAAGTAACCGGCAAAATAAATAAGACTAGATTCTACAAAGTTATCTTTTTACCCCAAGGGGTGATGGGTTTATATGGTTAAAATGTAATTCAACAAGAAATATTTTATAGGAAACAGTTTAGTTGTTGGTACTGACAGCTTGCAAGACTGCTGGCGCTAAAATTTATTTCAGCCAAAAATTATGAAGAGATATATACAAATTTTATGATTAAAGACCTATTCCAGCTAATGTATTATTGTTCTGATTGTCTAGTGCAGTGGTGCCCAGCCTTATTACACAGGAGGGCCACATAAACCTAAGCACAACCTTGTGTGGGTGAAACAGATTCTACACATTTTAATACGATTTAAAGTCACCTGTATTGATTTATATTTTAAGTTCAGCTTGTTTCATATGTATTTAAATAGAAACAACCTACGTACAGTATTATCTATTTACACACTTGGTGTAAACTAAAATGATGTAAACATGACAAAACGTTAATGAATCAGCCATTAGTATATTGTGTTGAAGCAGGCCGCAGGCCTTATGAAATGCTGTAGTGGACCGTGTATGGACCACAGGCCGTAGGTTGGGTACCCCAGTCTAGAACATATGGGATTAGATTACAAATCCAGAAGGACCATAATTGAAATCATATTAACTCATAACGCTTCCATCTACAGTAAGACCTTCTGAAAGTTTATAATTCTTCAAAGCCTTAGAAATCTTTTCTTAAATGGAAGGGTCAAAGTTTAACATTCGAGTGTGGCTGTACATTGAAAAGCAAAACTGTAAAAATGACTCAGCACTTTTGAAAATCAGGTAATTTATTTAGGTGCCCAATTAGGGACTAACACACCCCCAGCCAGATCCTGCACCCCTTCCCACACCCCTGCCCCAGCCCTGATCCCCCTCCAAATCCCTTGGTCCCAGCCCAGAGCCCACACCCCCAGCCAGAGCCCTCACTCCCTCCTGCACCCCAACCCCAATTTTGTGAGCATTCATGGCCCGCCATACAATTTCTATTCCCTGATGTGGCCCTCAGGACAAAAAGTTTGCCCACCTCTGACCTAATATGTAAGCCACAAATATTTAATTCTGCTTAAGTCTATTAGCAAGAGAAAGGGCATGGTGAAACTTAAGCCTTAGTTCTGCATTACTCTATTCAATAGGTGGTCTGTCCACCCTTGGCTTTTATTACAAGATAGTCTCTTATATCTACGTATTTCTTTCAAATGGGATGCAATGCTTTTTTAGTTTGTTTTGATGTGTGTTGGATGGTTGTTCTATTGAAAAAAATCCCATTCTAAACTTCCTTCCAGTGGAAACAGTTATGTCAATATTCGTTCACATACTGCACTATCCATTATGCCATCACTGAAACACAGCTCACCAACAGCTTTAGAAGAGTTACAGCACCTCCTGTAACCTCCAAATTTAACAATGGACACCAGATATTCCTTTTTTAGGGCTTCTCCTTTCCTCCATTTTATTTATTATACAGGGAGCTGGTAGCATCACATAAGTTAAGGTTGCCCAAAACTTCCTATTACAAGACTCTATTTTCAATTCTGTATAATTTTGCCAGATTAACTGTTGAGACTGAAATTTTCCAGGTCTTTCAATGAGTCATGCTGATTAATGCTCCAGAGGCCCACAAATTTTTCTTCTAAAATCTTCATCCTTTCCCAAGCTGATTAAACAAAATTATGCCCCAATTCTACAAAGGTTAACACACATACTTAACATTATATACCAAAAGCAGCTATAGAGAAGTTAATACGGCTACTCATTATGCATAAAGTTAAGCATGTGTATAAATCTTTGTAGGATTGGGGGCCTTGGTTTGCATTGCTTTGTGATCTGGGTCAGATATAATTTCTTCCATTAAATACACTCTTTTTCAATCTTTTCACCGTTTCTGAGTGAATGTTATCAATATTACGTTCCTTACGCTCCTTACTTCACAATTCATACATCACCTGTTTTTCTCCACCCATTTCAATATTAACTGTGTCACTTAAGTAAATCTCCTACAGAATTACTTTAAAAACATAGCGTCTCTTATAGTAGTTCCCAGAATACACTCAGGTATTTAAACTATCGGTTTATTTTTCTCAACGCTTTAAAAGAGCAATATTCAACTGTGTTCAATTGGTTTTCCAGTTCAACAATCATATGCCAATATTCCCAATCGAAAACATACAATCAGGTATTAAGATTCAGATACAATTTTCAATAACCAATCATTAACGATTTTTCTATTTGCTTTAAGGAACACTAAATAATACACCTCTACCCTGATAGAACGCTGTCCTCAGGAGCCAAAAAAATCTTACAACGTTATAGGTGAAACCATGTTATATCGAACTTACTTTGATCCGCCAGAGTGCGCAGCCCCGCCCCCCCGGAGCACTGCTTTACCGCGTTATATCCGAATTCGGGTTATATCGGGTCGCATTATATCGGGGTAGAGGTGTAGTTATTTCTCCCACCTCATTTTAATTACTAATAACCTAATACTAGGACAAATCCCGAGTTCCTTACACAGTTTTCACTTGTAACAATCTTCCACTGAAGCAAAGAAGAGTTTTGTCTAAATAAGGATTGAGTTAAAACTAAGGACCTCAGGATTTGTCCTATTTCTGATAGAACAGGTCAACACACACTAACACAAAACAGAAGTTTTTCTAAATGTGTGGGTTTATCCATTGCTAGGTAAACCTTCTATGACTAATGTGTTTGCAGAATAGATGAATAAAGGAACCACTAAACTACACTGTCAAATAAACAACAGCCATATTTTTGTCAAAGCATCTCACTGTATAGTCTACATTTGGCTGAAATCAGTATAAATTTTTTAAGTGTAACTGTATCTGTACATTAATAAGAGCTATAATAGTAAGAGGAAAAACTAACCTTCTTAATATTAAATTGGTGCTTTCTCAACCTTTCGAGATCCGTTGGAATTGCCACTTTAATGAATTTTTGGATGGGGGGTTCAAGACGACGAATATTCACTTTTTCTTCGTTTTCAGACATCCTAAAAATATCTATCAAGTCAGAACTTGACCAATAAGACTTTACTCATCTAGAAACTCCTAAAAAGAAAAAGATATTTAAATTTAAGCAAGTCACTGTCATAAATGTTATCATTAGCATCAAGCAACAATTATCTGAGAGCTTTTAGAAAAAAAAATGCAAGCCATATTGTGTACATCTTCCACTTCACAGGTGGACTGTCAATGTTTCCCACTCATTTGAGTACTGCCTTTACTGAAACTTTATTGTTCTGGAACTTCACATATGAAGAATACAGAACATAGTATGTTATTAATTAATAAGTTTGTTCAGCAGATAATTGAAGTTTACTGTATGATTAGATTTAAGGTAGTACTATATAAGACATTGCACAGGTGACAAATTTGTAAGGTTGAAACTGTCAGATTAAAAACAACATTTTTAGAAGTCATTTTAACTTGTTGTTACTGAAAATAAAACAGAGGTATGTTTTCAAATCAAGTGCATCTTCCGCTAAGCTACAGTCTCTTCACAGAGAATTCTCTCAGCTCCTATTGATTAGGAGGGAGGGATAGCTCAGTGGTTTGAGCATTGGCCTGCTAAACCCAGGGTTGTGAGCTTAATCCTTGAGGGGGCCATTTAGGGATCAAGGGCAAAAATCTGTCTGGGGATTGGGCCTGCTTTGAGCAGGGGGTTGGACTAGATGACCTCCTGAGGTCCCTTCTAACCCTGATATTCTATGAGACACGGTGGAAGTTGAGGGCACTAGGAATTTTACAGGATTGGGCTCCAATTTTGCCAATTTTTGTACCTGTTAATTCTATTCTAAACTTTGTAAAAATTGAGGCAGTTTATCTGTAATGTACATTTTAGTGATTGCTATTAATATGCACCTGAAAAGTTTCATACTCATGTACTTCTGCAGAAGCCTATCAGGACTCCTTTCCACTCATATACTGAAGTTACAATGTGTAATAAACTTGAACAGCTGTTGTGTATACAGTGCTGTTTTCATGTTGTACATTCACACGTATCCCTTATCAACTGTATTATGTCACCAAGTAAAAATGTATGTACTTACTATTTTTATTTAGTTTTATAGGGCCATATTTTTGAAGCGGCCTCTAACCATCCTATATCTGCATCAACAATCAAATTAAAATACTGTTTACATGTTACTAATAGTGTTGCTATACAACAATGCTATAATACAACCCATGTCACACAACAGGGATCTTCCTCAGAGAGGTATAGGTCCAAAAATTTTAACCACAAGGTGTCCACATTACAACTTCAAACTGAGCGTGTAACCAGTTAGTGGCATGAAGGGCTCTAAACATGGGGGTCATATTCTCTGCTGGCATAACTCCATTCAGCTATGCCAGCAAAGAAGTTGACCGGTGGTTTGTGTCCACGTACCACATGGTTAAAACATAGTAAGTGTGACAGCTAACAGTGTTTCAATCCTTACAGAGTGATATCTTCTTGTAACCCAGGATTTCAAAAGTGGGGGCACCGGGCACTACCCTGAGGGGCACAGGCAATAAATGAAGAGGTGAAGGTCTTTAACACCACATGCCAAGGCTCTGACGGGACCCAATTGGTTTCATTTTCCTGAAGTGAGGCTCAGCTTCTAGACTTGAGGAAGCACTGCTGTAACCCACTCATTGCACTGTGCTGGACTCCCAACTATTTTTTGGGAAGTACATTCGGAGGTCCTTCAGCTCAACTCTCTGGGGGACAGCACAACTCAGACCACATTGCTCCTTGGCTGCTGCTGTGTGTCCCCCAAGCAGTATTCGCTGCTGAGGACCTATGGACTTTCCCAGACTACAGCGATACAGACATGGGTACGTGGTACGGCAGAGGCGGATATCCCGATACGGGTGTGATGTTGGAAATGTTGCAGGGCAGACACAAACTGAACTGTCTGACTGATACCCAACTCGGATGACTGTACTTCTAACTCCTCACAACAATCACTGTTGTGGTGCCGTGCGGCCAAGCTGCAGAGACCCAGGCGAGGACGTGCCCTACCTGCACAGGGGGATAAGTCACCACTCCAAAAGCCTCCAGCCCCAAGTCCCTGCTACACAGGAGCCACTGGGGGAGACACGTACTGCAGCAGCCCACAGCTCTGAGACTAGGAAGGGGAGGCGGAGAAACATGTCCCTCCCCAACTTCCCCGCCTCGTCCCCACCACAACACATCACGCCCCCCGTCTCACCCCCGCGCCGCCGCCCGCCGTTCCTGGGGTCAGTCGCTCCCCGGCGATGGGGGGGTGCGTCCAGTGCCCCCAACCGGAGCCTCACACGCAGCCCGGGCCCGCAGACCCCGCGGGATCGGGCCGCCCGGGGCAGAAACGAAACCGGGGCCGGGGGGACAGGGAGGGGAGACACCGATCAGCCGCTCTCACCTCACAGCCGGGCAGGAGGCGCTGCCGCTGGGACCCGGGCAAGAGGCGGCGCCGCTGGGACCCGAGCTGGGGGCAGCCCGGGGAGGGGCCGGAGCAGGCGCTGCGGGAAGGAACGAAGCGGCGGCTGGACAGAGAGAGCAGCGAGCGCCCGCCCCCGGCCCGGCCACACCACACCACGTGCCGGGTGTTTCCTAAGCCAGGAGCGCCCAGCACGTCCTCCCCGCCGGCCACCGACCGCCCGGCCTGCTTCCCGCAGCGCGCCCCGGCACCCGCACACACAGAGCGGCACTGCCCAGCCCGCCGCCCCCGGCCCTGCAGAGCCCAGCCCCTCTTCTCCCTGCTAGGCGTCACTTTGCTACCTGTACTTGGGAGAGGCTGGGCCCAATTCAATTGTTATAATCTCGCCTCCTCCTAGCGTGGATTACAGGTCAGCATTTTTTCTAGTTAAAATGTGCACAATTGTGCAAGATTATGGGGTTTAAATTTTTTATTGATCTATATTTTCACAGTTGCAGGGAAACTATGTGGGGAGGGATCAGACAGTGGTTGTTTAATAACGGTAGATTTGAGATTCAAAAAGTTAAAGTTGTAGAACTCTCAAAATGCAAATTGTCAACCCCGCATATGTCAAAATATACACAGTAAACATCTTTAAAATGAACAAACTCTATAAAGTCCCCAAACAGTATTTTTCTTACTTTGCCTAGTTGTATATTTCTGTTATCAAGGGAAATATTTGTAAGTAATTCCCTGATAAAATGTTGCTGCTTCAAGACTTGCTGCTGTTGCTGGGCAGCAGTCTGCTGCTGAAGTTGGTCCCTAACCCCTTCAACAGTTTGTCCAAGTGCATCTTTCTCTCACTCCCATTCTTTTCTAGGTTGCTCACATTCCCCCCACTTTGTAGTGAGCTTCGCTTGGTGGGGCAGTAGGCCTAGGGGTCAGGCCGCAGCCAGACAGTCTGAGTCTTGGGATAACTCTGCCAGGCAGTCAAGTCACATTTTGTTGTCCCAACCGGAGTCTGACGGGATCTCTCAGGCAGCCAGGGAAGAAGTGAAGAGTAGGCGGACCCAGGCCTTCTCTCTCCACTGAGTCCTAGCCCAGGGCCCATGGGGAGAAAGGGTGGCTCAGTCCCTTCTGACTGCCACTCCAGATCAGTCTCCCCTGGACCACTTCCTATCTTCCCTATGTTCCCTTCAGTTTGGGCCTAGCCCCATCTTTCTGCTTGCACAGCCTCAGTAGTTCAGAGCCTCAGCTGAGGGATAGTGGGGGCTTCTCAGCTCACTCTTAGAGTCTAGTTGTTCCTCCACATAGGGTAGCTACTCAGGCGTTCCCAGAATACCAGACATTCTGGAGCATCTGGGAATGGCATGGGCCTGCCCCTACTTCTGCTGGTGTGACACCTCACATGCATGGTGCGTGCAAGGTCATGCCACACAAGCGATGCCATTTTTCAGAGTGCATCCTTTCCCCATCTCTGTATCCTTGATTCATGTCTTCCTCTGCCTCCAGCCAATGGCTCTCCCACACTGCACACCCAGCTGCTGTGCAGGTGTCACACACCCATCACCTATTGGCCGCTGCTGTCATCAGGTATCACCCCCGATATCCTCCCAAGTTCCATCCTGCCTCACAGCCATTGGCCACAGCGGTTGCTAACCACTGCCCCCTCCCTAGTTCCATTGGTCAATGTTTCTTCTCCACCTGTTTCTTTGAAAGACCCCATTGGCCCAGATGTCTTCTTCTTTGGTGACCATGACTGTTCTCCTGGGCCAGTTTCTGTGCTATTACCTGTCAATCACAGCTGTTGCCTGCCATTATCAGGGAGGGATAGCTCAGTGGTTTGAGCATTGGCCTGCTAAACCCAGGGTTGTGAGTTCAATCGTTGAGGGGGCCATTTAGGGATCTGGGGCAAAAATCTGTCTGGGGATTGGGCCTGCTTTGAGCAGGGGTTGGACTAGATGACCTCCTGAGGTCCCTTCCAACCCTGGTATTCTATGATTGGGTGACCCTGGAGATGTGGGCTGAACAGCTGGAAGTGATCTTGCATGCTCTTCAAAATGGCATCATCCATTAGATGCAGATACAAAACCATAGCTGGTTTAGTCTCAGTACTGGATGAGGAACAAACCCTAGGAAAGCAGGATTGTCCAGTTTAATACTGGACAAGTGGCCTGTCTGCTGCTAAGGAAAGGAGGCAGGGGTAGACCCCAGCCTCCTGGCTGAGTCTTAGGCCTGGTCTACACTAACACCCCAATTCGATCTAAGGTACGCAACTTCAGCTACGTGAATAACGTAGCTGAAGTCAACATACCTTAGTTCGAATTTACCGCGGTTCAGACGCGGTCCACACGCGGCAGGCAGGCTCCCCCGTCGACTCCGCGGTACTCCTCTCGCTGAGGTGGAGTACCGCAGTCGACGGCGAGCACTTCCTGGTTCGACTTATCGCGTCCAGACCAGACGCGATAAATCGAACCCGGAAGTTCGATTGCCAGCCATCGAACTACCGCGGTAGTGTAGACCTGGCCTTACTCTCAGTTACAGTCCTTTCCCTGTAGAGTGCTCTAACTCAGTGGCTACAGCCTGTATGCCTTCTTGCAGCCAGTCTCTCCTTCACTCTTCCCCATGCCTGACTACCAGATCTCCCTTTTAAGCAGGTCCTCTATAGGGAGCATGCCTAGGAGCTGCTGAGGGGCAGGGCCTTCTTGGCCTAATACTGCTCCACCACTCCTTTAACTTTTTTGCAGGGTCTAAAAATAGGTTTCTGTATAAAAAGAAGAGAGATCCTGTTTAAACTATTTTTGAATTTATTAATAGCTAGATTAGAAACCTTCAATCATATTTATATTAGCCATTGGGTAAACTGGCTCTATTGGGTTCCATCGACCACCAGTGGTCCTATCATCCTTGGCAGCGCTCATTCCGGATGACCATTCCTGGTTCTGCTTCCTCTCTGTGGTTGAAGAGATGTTTAACAACTGTCACTAAGTATATTGGGAGTAGAAGCTCTGCTAGAAGAAAACAGAAGAGTTCTTCAAGTGAGAAAAATTAAAGCTTCCATTTCTAAAAATAAGAGATTCGAATTCTTCCACCAACTTAAGAGGTTTTCTGAAGTGAACTCCTTGGCACCAAAATTAATTATGCTTAAAAGTATCCCCTAACTCATGCGAAGAACAATATAGTTAGGCTGTTCTAACTGACAAATTAGAAGATGGAGTACTGGTGGGGAACAGTTATAAACCACCAACTAGTGGGGGACAGGAGAACAAGATGAGTTACTCTTAAACATCTATCTATAACGTGTAGAAAGAAAATTGTGTTGTGATGGAAGATTTCAATCTTGAGGACATACACTGGAGATATCTTGACACCAGGGAAACACCTTTGAAGTTTCAGAAAATTATAAATAACTTTCCAACAGAAAAGAATGGAAACCATCTTGGGGTAATTCTATATTAGACCTCATTCTGACTGAGAAAGATTTTAAAAAATGGTTGGTTACCTAGGTGCAAGTAACCATTATCTAATTCAATTTGTTATGCATGAACTGAATATAGTCCTGACCTGTAATGTATAAACTTGGTGTTTTAAAATACCCACTCTCTCAAAGCTGGGGGGGGGGGGGGGAGAAGAGAGAAAATCATGAGCAAAGCTGAGTGGGAGGAAAATTTTAAGTATTAAAATGTAAATGATAATTGGTATTTATTCAAGAATGCTTTATTAGATGCCCCCTCAAAACCTACAATTCTAGTGTCACATAAGAAAGCCTCTTTGATTTAAAAACCATCCTGGTTAAGAGGGGAAGTGAAAATAGCAATTAAAATAAATGTACAACAAATGGAAAAATGGGTAAATTGATAGCAATGAGTTAAAATGAGCAGTTAGGAAATGCAGACAATTGATAAGGGGAGCTAAAAGTATAAATGAAAACAAAAAATTCTATGGCTAGTAAGTTTAAGGACTACAAGAAGAAATTCTTTAAATATATCAGGAAAAAAAATTAAATCCTAATAATGGCACAGGTCTGTTTCTAGATACGGATAGTAGAGTTGTCAATCATAATGCTGAAAAGGCAGAAGTATTCAATAAATATTTGTTCTGTATTTAGAAAGAAGTAGGATAGGTTCATATCTTACAGTGATAATGAAATATTTTCTATTTCAACAGAAACTGGGGAGGATGTTAAACTGTTAGAGTTAAGCATTTAAGTTAGTAGGACCAGATGATAAACACCAAAGAGGATTAAATAATGGCCAAGTAGTTTTCTGAACTATTAATATTGATTTTTAACAATTCTTGGAACACTGGGGAGGTTACAGAGGATTGAAGTAAAGCTCATTTTGTGCCAGTATTTCTAAAGGGTAATCAGGATGACACAGGTAGCTACAGGCTAGTCAGCCTGACATCATTCCTGGACAAAATCATGGTAGGTTAATATGGGTTACAATCAGTAAAGAATTAAAGGAAATGTGATAAGAGTGCACAAAACTTTCGAGTGCCTCCTGTCCGCTGGGTGTGGTGCTGCAATTTTTTTCCCTCCTGGCACCCCCTATATGGTGTTGAGCTTGTCAGGTGGGTCTTCAGTGGCTCAGCCTTCCGGCTAAGTCACACCATCAACAATGGGAGGGAAAGTTCAACAAATGGTTTGGCCTTTTCAGGGTCTTCAGCCTATTTAAACTCCAGCCCCTTTCGGGCCTGTTTAAACTCCAGCCCCTTTCTCTGGCTTTTAAATAAGCCTTATCCCCTTCTCAGGGCTTAGGACACTTCCCCAGTGGCTTGTGGAGGGACCTGGGCCCACCCACTACTCCAGGTCCCAACCCAGGGACCCTATGAACAGCAGTCACACACTGGTCCCTTTAACCACATCAGTTAGCTGCTATAGTTTTCCCTGGGCTTTTTCTCACAGTCCTATCACCTTCACCTGTTACCTTAGGGTTATAGACCTTGGGTTCTCTTTGTCTTATCCCTGCTTGAGCAGGGTCTTTCCCAGGCCTCCTTGCCTGGAGAGTTTCTCAGTCTTCCAGACCTTCCTCACATTTCTGCTCCCAGCCAGCAACTGACCTAGTCAGGTCCTGCAGCTCCTTTTATCTGAGCCTGCTGCACTCTAATTAGCTGCTTCCCTGTAGCCTTTCTAGGCAGGTCTGGAGGA